TAGAAAATAATCAGGTTTGGCTAAAATGAACTTGTAATTGATAGATTGATTATTATGATATATGGTTGGTAAATTGCAGTCAGACGGAAAGGAAGGGTGTTAAACTGAGGTTGGGTTAGGAAGAAACATGTTTATTTTTATTGACCTTTTAGAATCTGCGCCATCTTTGATAGTTAGAAATTCCAGGTTATTGTTTGTGGTTGTATGGGACAGACATAAACCTTCCAAAGCATTTGCTAATTTGGAAAATATCTTTCGCTTTGGGCACCATCTGCATCGATGATCATTTGTATGTCAACTTTCAAGTAAATTTGACATAATCATCTATGGTTCTCTGGGCAATTATTTTGTCACCTCCACTGCCTATCGGAGGAGATGACTGTACATCTCATCCTGAGGAACTAGGGTTGCCACCACAACATCTCTGAAGAAACTGTGTTACCACCATCTTTTTGTAGTGATTGTTCCATATTTTCATAGGTACCTTTAGGCAGTATTCTTTTGTCGGTCCAAATATATTATTAGGGCTCTTTAACTGCACAATTGACAATGTTTCTCCTATTGCTAACCAATTTTGAACTACCTTCAACTGAGTAAAATTCTTGAATCCCCTTTTTTTTTCTTTTTCTTTTTTTGTTTATTTGTTTACTTGTTATTCTTAATGGATGTTGACCTTTTTGTAACCAACTTTGGGTTATAGAGTGTAGCTGGATGCCTTGGTTAGAGTGACTTGTGAATGCTGTCTTAAGAGACCACTTGTTAAGGGATATACAAGGGTATAGCAACTTCTGCACAGATCTCTCTGTATTGGTGGGCTTCTCAACCACTTGGTTCGAGCTATGTTGATAGTGAAGCATGCCACCTACTGTACCTTTCTTGTTTTGCTTCCAATTTTACCTTATTTTTTTCTTGGATTCCCTTGGACAGGTTTTTTTTGTTCTTTGCCTTGAAGCAAGAGGTCGGTAGTTCGATTGTCGAAGTACTGTCCATTGAATAGGTTTTTGTAGAAAACCATCATAGGTTTTCTCCTTGCCTTTAAGCAAGAGATCAACCATCTAGTTGCCAAAGTACTGCCCCTTGGACATGTTTTTGTAGAAAATCATCGTAGATTTGTTCCTTGCCTTTAAGCAAGAAATTGACAGTCCAACTACCAAAATACTGTCCCTTGGACAGGTTTTTTTTGTTCTTTGCCTTGAAGCAAGAGGTCGGTAGTTCGATTGTCGAAGTACTGTCCATTGAATAGGTTTTTGTAGAAAACCATCATAGGTTTTCTCCTTGCCTTTAAGCAAGAGATCAACCATCTAGTTGCCAAAGTACTGCCCCTTGGACATGTTTTTGTAGAAAATCATCGTAGATTTGTTCCTTGCCTTTAAGCAAGAAATTGACAGTCCAACTACCAAAATACTGTCCCTTGGACAGGTTTTTTTTGTTCTTTGCCTTGAAGCAAGAGGTCGGTAGTTCGATTGTCGAAGTACTGTCCATTGAATAGGTTTTTGTAGAAAACCATCATAGGTTTTCTCCTTGCCTTTAAGCAAGAGATCAACCATCTAGTTGCCAAAGTACTGCCCCTTGGACATGTTTTTGTAGAAAATCATCGTAGATTTGTTCCTTGCCTTTAAGCAAGAAATTGACAGTCCAACTACCAAAATACTGTCCCTTGGACAGGTTTTTTTTGTTCTTTGCCTTGAAGCAAGAGGTCGGTAGTTCGATTGTCGAAGTACTGTCCATTGAATAGGTTTTTGTAGAAAACCATCATAGGTTTTCTCCTTGCCTTTAAGCAAGAGATCAACCATCTAGTTGCCAAAGTACTGCCCCTTGGACATGTTTTTGTAGAAAATCATCGTAGATTTGTTCCTTGCCTTTAAGCAAGAAATTGACAGTCCAACTACCAAAATACTGTCCCTTGGACAGGTTTTTTTTGTTCTTTGCCTTGAAGCAAGAGGTCGGTAGTTCGATTGTCGAAGTACTATCCTTTGGATAGGTTTTTGTAGAAAACAATCATAGGTTTGCTCCTTGCCTTTAAGCAAGAGATCGACCATCTAGTTGCCAAAGTACTTCCCCTTGGACATGTTTTTGTAGAAAATCATCGTAGATTTGTTCCTTGCCTTTAATCAAGAAATCGACAGTTCAACTACCGAAATACTGTCCCTTGGACAGGTTTTATGCCAATCATGTTATTAGGTTTAGGGTTTTTTGGGTGGTTCCGGCTTTAATGCATTTACGTCAGGTGGACAGGTGTTGGTCATTCCAATACTCATCAGTACCTTGCATTAAATGCAAGGGCATGTTATTCAAATGAAGTGAAATGCATGTTTGAAGAGTGCACCGTTTCTCCTCCTTTTGCACAACTACAAGTTCAAATCATTGTTTCGATATTTGTGATATCCATTTGACAGCATTTTCTGTGAACTTTTTGTAGTTATTTATTTTTTTGCTGTTACTTTATTTTTGAGTTTTTTTGGAGAGTCAATAATTGATACATTAGTTCACAATTTATGGAAATGAAGCAAAAGGCATTGCGCCGAAGATATTTAGCATAAAAGGTTGTGCTATAATGAAGTGATTATTGCTATTGTACTCAGCTTTTCATATCCAACTTAAAGAATTTTTTTACCTTCATGTAGAAATCAATCATTTCTATTTGGTAATAAATCAATCTTTAGGAAAAACATGAAAATTAATCCTTTTCTGTAAGTGTCTATTTTTGATGAATAAGAAGGCTTAAGCTAAAGAAAAAGGTTATTCCTGGTACATGCAAGTTATACAAGCACCTTAGGCGTCAGGAGGGAAAAAAAAAAAAAAAGCAATGTAAAACTTCTGGATGGAGAATCTCAATAGAAAAAAGAATGAGAAGCATATCATCTGTTTAGTTTTGTAACTAATAACTGTAGTCTTGTAACTTCTTAGTATTTGAACTAAGTTATTATATTTTGTTGTCTGGATACTTGCTCACCCAAATTGTAATACTATCAGTAAAGGTGGTTCCCCCAAGCCTGGTTCTGCTTTTGCATCATCCTTTGAGAGTTTGTTTTGCTGCCAAAATTACATTTGCTGGCGTTGGACAAAGATGTCTTTGGTCTAGTTAACTAGAAATATGCTAGAAAATAATCAGGTTTGGCTAACATGAACTTGTAATTGATGGATTGATTATTATGATATATGGTTGGTAAATTGCAGTCAGACTGAAAGGAAGGGTGTTAAACTGAGGTTGGGTTAGGAAGAAACATGTTTATTTTTATTGACCTTTTAGAATCTGAGCCATCTTTGATAGTTAGAAATTCCAGGTTGTTATTTGTGGTTGTATGGGACAGACATAACCTTCCAAAACATTTGCTAATTTGGAAAATATCTGTCGCTTTGGGCACCATCTGCATCGATGATCATTTGTATGTCAACTTTCAAGTAAATTTGACATAATCATCTATGGTTCTCTGGGCAATTATTTTGTCACCTCCACTGCCTATCGGAGGAGATGACTGTACATCTCATCCTGAGGAACTAGGGTTGCCACCACAACATCTCTGAAGAAACTGTGTTACCACCATCTTTTTGTAGTGATTGTTCCATATTTTCATAGGTACCTTTAGGCAGTATTCTTTTGTCGGTCCAAATATATTATTAGGGCTCTTTAACTGCACAATTGACAATGTTTCTCCTATTGCTAACCAATTTTGAACTACCTTCAACTGAGTAAAATTCTTGAATCCCCTTTTTTTTTCTTTTTCTTTTTTTGTTTATTTGTTTACTTGTTATTCTTAATGGATGTTGACCTTTTTGTAACCAACTTTGGGTTATAGAGTGTAGCTGGATGCCTTGGTTAGAGTGACTTGTGAATGCTGTCTTAAGAGACCACTTGTTAAGGGATATACAAGGGTATAGCAACTTCTGCACAGATCTCTCTGTATTGGTGGGCTTCTCAACCACTTGGTTCGAGCTATGTTGATAGTGAAGCATGCCACCTACTGTACCTTTCTTGTTTTGCTTCCAATTTTACCTTATTTTTTTCTTGGATAAAGTACTAGATGCAGCTGGTTCCATTTGGAACATCCAAAGCAAATATCGACACTCTCTCTGCCTTACACTGTGTCACCACTATAACTACTTAATGCCACTTCCCTGTAATAGGTGAGGAGTGTGTATTTGACCCTATTTATGACATTAAGTATGTCTTGAACTGTCAATCAGATAAGTCAACCTACCAACCATCTAGAGTTATACCCCTGGGGGGTAATCTAGTTGGCAATGTGTTTGCTACCCACATGCCCAGCTCAAGTTCGACTTTTGTCGGCCCCTCCTGTTTTTCCCAAATCATGTGATTAGGGGAGTTGCTTGATCCTCATGTTTACACTCCTAGGGTGTGCCCAAAGGACCTTGCCTAGGACACGGTTCGTGGTTATTAAAAAATAAATAAAATCTAGAGTGTATGTTCATATAACAACTTTCTTGGGTCTTGGACTATACCATATTTTAATATGTTTAAAAGTGCTTATTTTTTCAGCATTCGCTTGGCATAGTTGAAGTTATTTTGCTTCATTTCCATTTTTTCTCCATATGATAGGTTGACTTTTCAAGATCCCAAGTCATTTGAACTGCAATAAGTGAATACTTATGTTAGTTTTATGGTGAACTGAAGTTCTTAAATAGTTGGCAATATTCGTCCAAAAAAATATTGTTTTCTTGTTAGAGAAAGCTTCTATGGGGGTGGTTGCAAAGCTGCATTGAGTGATAAAAAACTGTGTCTGAAACTTTATCAGTGTTGTTTGCCAAGCAACTTAACTTTAAGGAAATAGAAGTTTAATTATTTGTGAAAAGTCTCTCTCTCTCTCTCTAATATCAAGTGATCCTATCTTGTATTTTAAATAAACACATTAGACATGATTAGTGGCTCGGCTCATGTAATGTCTCAATGGCCTAAATTAACATTTATATAGCTGCCGGACTGCTAAGTGTTGGTTCTCGAACTTAACTAACCTGGATTCTTATTCTCATGACATAAATGCGTTGGGTTATTGACGCTTCATAGATATGAAGTTACTACCGCATGAAAGTGATCATATTGGGGTGGTTTTATTGTTCCAGGGCCGTTTTAAGTATCAACCTGGCCAAGTGAGAGCCTTTGGTATGCTTGCTGGTGGCTCTGGCATTACTCCAATGTTCCAGGTATGTATTTGAGAATCTAGGATATGTATTTTGATCTAATTATCAAGATATATTAATTATTTTAGATTGATGTCTTCTTAAAGGTTTTGGTGTTTCTATATTGCTTTTGTTTTGTTCTGATCTGTTTCCACTTTAGGTTACAAGAGCTATTTTAGAAAACCCAAAGGACGTGACGAAGGTGCATCTCATTTATGCTAATGTTACATTTGAGGACATTCTTGTAAAGGTAATTCTCTTATCTCACTTTGTGTTAGTATGGGCCATACAAGTGCTGGCATGACTCCACTAGAGGAATGAAATCTTTAGAATCTGTATGAGTTGGTCATTACCTAGGTTGGCCAAAAACATATTGGCCCTGTTTTGGGAAGTAGAACTCATTTTGCTCGTCCAAGATGGGAATTTTCTCCTATTTAGTATATGGTGCTTAGTTTTCAGCCAGAGGCTTTCTTTACCATCTCAATGTAGGGAGTGCAGGCTAGGTATTGCCTTGGTGATTAGGATCTCTTAATGAGGTGTTGGTTAGGTGATGTCTCTGGAAAATTCAAAGCTTTTGTTTCTAGCTATTTACAACCATTAAAGAACAAGAAATTACAGTTGTGAGTGGTGTGGATAACACAGAAAAAGGTTTGAATGTGTGGTGTATGTTCTTGCATTGCAACTTCAACCTATTATTACCCTTTAAAACAAAGACAAAAAGTAATATGTTCAATGGAAAGATAATAACTTTTTACCAAATAACTTAATTTAACATAACCTCCTCGACGGTTAAAACATTGGACTGAACATAAAAACCAGTAACTGAATTTTTTCACTTGCCAAGATTTCTGTCTTTTAGAGTTTGGTGAACATTCACGGTTGAGATGATGTTATGTAGTAATGATGATTATAACTCCAAGGGGTTGGCCTAGTGGTAAGGCCTTGGGTCTTGGGGGTGTACTCCCTGTAATGTTCAGGGATCGAAACCTCTTAAGTGTTAACAATTCCTTGGTCCATCAGATTGGGGAAAAACTCTTGAATTAACTATGGTACACTTGCGAGAAACTCCTTACCGAGGGCCTGTGCACCCCAGGGGATTAGTCGGGTTTTGATCCGAACACCCCAATGCCAATAAAAAAAACATAAAATAAAAAAATGTAGTAATGATGATTATGTTAGGGCTATCATTTAAATTCCTACATAAACCTGCTTTATTATATAATAGAGTTTTTATGAAGATAACCCTAATGGTCTCTCTTATCTCTTGACCTATTCTTTTCTTTCTTTCTTCCCTTCTATTCTCTCTTTCTTTTGTCTTCTTATCGTCTTGTATCAAAAAATTGTTCAAAATGGTGGGTCTCATATTCAAAAATTGTTTTTTGCTCTTCTATTCTCTTTCAGTTTCATCCTTTTCCTTCATTCTCCACTTATTGGTTGCATGATACAATTAGAGTCGATTTCTTCTATTTTACCTCACTTTCATCCTTTTCCGTTAGTGTCTTTTCATCTTCACTCACTGTCATTCTTCTTAGTCTTTGGTTATCAGTCCATTGTTGTCTGTTCTTCTTATCTTGAATGCAGAAGTATCCTTTGGTTGTTCTTCGGTAAATTCGATAGAGTCCTATACATTTATGTTAATCAGTTTCATCGGCTCTTTATAGTATTTCAAAATGAGAACATATAGTTGTGACAGGGATTTAAAGATTGAGCAAAAAATCTTCATTATCCAGATTGATGAAGTGTCTAGAGCTGAGAAAATTAGAATTACAAAGAGGAAGTTATTGCTTGTTGCTGGATTTGGGTGGCGCTAACATACTGAAAAACAGCATGGGAGAATGACAGTAGCTTCTATTTTCACCCGTGGTTTTGTCTTGGTGCACACATCTTTTTCTTCTCTCTCATTTTGTTTTGTTTTTTTTGTTTTTTGTTTTTTTTCCCAAAATCAACTTCCAAATAAAAATATTTGGTACGGAAATCAACTTCCGAACAAAATTATTTGATTTGGCTGTATCTTTGGTTTAGAAGTTGATTTTTGAACAAAACTATTTAGTTCAGAAATCAACTTCCGAATCAAAAATTTGCAAATTCAATGTGAACTGAGATAATGTGGTGTGTGAAAATAGAACCTCCCAAGAAAGGTGATTACTTCGTTAGTAAATTTTACTTGAATATGCAGCTTCCTTCAATTTATGAAATGTTTTTTTAGTTATAAAGCTTCAATCTTTTGTTTACATGTATGACATGTATTAGTTGTTTCAATTGTTGCATCATTTTCTCCCTTGGTATGGGAAATTGGCTGCTTCTACAAATAAGGATTACCATTGGCACATTGTGTTGCATCATATGATGGGGGCTACTACTAGTGCTGTGACTTGAACTATTATAGATTTAGATGTAATAATTAATGCAATGAATCAAGATATACCGACATGTGGTTGATAAAAATGGAATGAATCAATTAACATTCTGGATATCTATCTGCAGGAAGAATTGGATGGCCTTGCTTCTAACTATCCTGATCGCTTCAAGATTTACTATGTGCTGAATCAGGTCAGTCATCATTCTAGCATGGCACATCTGCTCTTGTTTTTGTTGCTCTCTCTCAGTTAAACTATTACATTTACCAAATGATTGTTGTAATTTTGGGGAAGATTGAAATATGCACTCATAAGTTTTCCCTGGCCACTGGTTCAGTGGTTAAACTCGGCCTATCAACCTTGAGGTTGTGGATTCGAACCTGAGGACAACCACTTTATACAAATCTTGCGAAAAGTTAGGTTTGTACCGAATCTACCCCTCCCTGTCCTCAATCTAATGGGGAGTAAACTGGATATACATTTTTGGTTTTCTCCGGCCCTGTCTAATATAATACATAGGAAAGAGTATCTTGACATGAAAATAAGCATGTTTGTTCTTTGCAGGGAGCTTATTTAAGAAGCTATTCATTGTTTCAAGGTTGTTTATCTAGTTTAGTCAATGAACGAACACAGTTTTGTGAATATTGATGCATCGGAATTGCATAGTTAGTTGGAAAACAAATTCAATTGATATGTCACTCGAGGGTTGCTGTTAGCATATTATCACGTCATATTTTGATGTGCTTCAATGTTTTGATTCGTGGGTAAGATTATATAGCTGCAGGACAGGTCCCAATCTTATACATGTATCGTGTAGATAGACCCACTTTGATTTTGTCTCTACTGATGAACTAACGGCCTGCTTAAATACCTCTGCAGCCTCCTGAGGTATGGAATGGCGGTGTCGGGTTTGTATCCAAGGAAATGATTCAAACCCACTGCCCTGCACCATCATCTGATATTCAGGTATATTTATGTTTCCTTCTCTTTGAATGCCTGGAAGCCTTCTCTGCAAATGAGCCGAGCTTTGCAAGGTTTGAGCTCGGCTTGAAGCTTGATAATGAATATTTTTCTTGGCTATTATTTATATTATTTAAATGAAAAATTTTCTTGATAAATATTTACATTATTTAAATATATAAATAATATTATTGAATACACAAATAATGTATTTATCTTATCATTAATACACATTTTTACATTCGTTAATATATAAATAATCTATTTATATTGTTATTTAAATAAATAATACTCGAGCTCGAGTTAGGTTCGTTTATTAAACAAGCTTAAAAGTCTAGGTTCGAGCTTATTTGTTTACTTAATGAACCAAGTCGAGTTGAGCTCTTACCAAGCCGAGCTCACTAATATTTCGGCTTTGCGGCCCTAACATACATGTACCTTACTTTTTCAATACCTAAAATGGTTAACCCTAAAATGCTGGAACATGCACAGATCCTGAGGTGTGGCCCACCACCTATGAACAAGGCGATGGCTGCTCACCTTGAAGCTCTTGGATATGCACCGGAGATGCAGTTCCAGTTCTGATAATCTTGTGGGGTCATTTTTTCGAAATTCAGGCATGTTTAGTAGCCCTTTTCACTGGTTGGGCATAATACAGTTTTGTTATGTTATGTCATGTTGTGTCTCTCAAGAGTTTTTAATGGAACTGTCATGCATTGGATCAACTGTGAACTTTCTTGCTAACCACTTTAATAAAGGATTTTCCCTGGATTTAAACTTACATTAACTCGGGCTCCAAATTAATCACCTGTGGTGCTTATTGTTAGATCTATAAGTTTGATGACTCGTATTGCTGGAAACACGAAAGAATCAGAAACACAGCACAAATTTTTACCCTTTTTTTTATTTTATTTTTTATATATATAAATAAAATTTTATTTAGTTATTTATTTTTTGGTGAGTTGTTGGGTTGACAATTGAGTCTTACAAAATTCCTCAAGAGCTTTTCACTTAGAAGATCACTTTTTTTTCTTTTTTCTTTTTTTAATATTTAAATTATTTTTTAGTCTGTTGGTTTTGTTTGACTGAAAAAAAGAATTTTATTTCATGAAATTGGATCAGCATAGCATACTTCAAATTAAAAAAGCAAGGTTATCTGAATAATTATTCTTTATTTATTTCTACTATTAAGGTCAAGTTTGGCATCTTCCAAAAAATTCAAAAAGTCAAAAAGTCACTATTATATTTAAGTCACATCATCTTATTTAAGTTACATTACCTCTCTAACACATCACTTCAAACCCAATCCAAATCTAATCCATATTTCATAAAAAGTCAAAAAGTACACTTATTTAGTCTTTCCAAACTTAGCCTAAATATCATTTTATTTATCTTCTTGAAATATTCTTGTTCATTTAAAGGTTGTTTAGGATGACTTAAATAAGTGTGTTTTTTACCTTTTTACGAAAAGATATGTAGAAAAGTATAAAGGTGATGTGATAGAAAAAAAATAAAAAAACGAATTATTTTTTAGTTGCCAAACTTGACCTTAGACTGCGTTCGAACATTGAATTTTTGGATGGAGAAGGTAAAAGTAAAAAAAAATAAAAAATTCAGTTGGGCTGTGTTTGGATATTGTTTATTTATTTTTGCTATTAAATATTAAATTCCTCTGTTTATGCTAATGGTGTGCTCATGAATGACCACATCCCCCCTACTTTTTTAATTTGATGGGATGCTTCCCCCCCTCCCCCAACTTTTTTTTTGATTCAAATGCTTCCCCCCAACTTGATAATCCCTTTGAGTTGACAAAATCTGCACAGGTCATTCACATATGAGCCAATGTAACAGTTAAGAATCTTTGCACTATTTTCGACTCACCTTTGTTTTTCCTTGGGTTGTTTTCCCAGTAATTAAAGATGATTTTAGTGAAGATGTTGCAATATTGTATGTTGTATGGAAAATTTTATATTACACCAATGATATGCTACAACAGTTATGACATTTGTCACATTTGATTAAGATTTATTATGATGTTAGTTATAACTTGATTATAATTTTATTGTATTATTAGTTATGATTCATTGTGATATTGATTATTATTTATTGTAATTATTATTTTGATTATGATTAAAAGAATCTTCAGTTATATATCTTATGGTGTTTGGTTATGACTCATTATTAATTTTTTAATTATGACTAAAAGAAATTTAATAATCAACACTATAAATATCTACATACTTCAAAGGGGTGTGCATGTAGTAGCACGGCCCATTTTGTATTATATACTACTACTTCACCAAATAAGCTTTCACCTACTCTGTGGGTATGAAATTTATGTTTATGTACCTAATTTTTTTATTTTTTTATTTTGTCGTTATGTTGTAGGTATGACTTCTCTCTATATTCTTATCTTTCATATTTCATGGAAGAGTTGGAAGATGAGAGTATGGAGATAAGTCATTTCCTATGTTACTCTCTATTTTTAAATCGTATCTTTTTTTTTTTTTTTTTTTTTTTTTTTTACATACTTTGAGATTCTTACATAGTCTAGGGGTCGTTTGGAAAGAAAAGAAAATAGTAAAAAATGATCACAAAAAGTTAGTATATTTTCTTTATTTTTTTACATATTTTTTTGAAAAAATAAAATAAAAAATCAATTTCTAAACCAACTCTAAATAGAGAAATTTAGAGAAAGGGCCTACTTTGTCATGCCCTCTTGATCAATTTCCTATATTGATGATGATTTGCTTACAATCTCATTAATTTTCAGAAGTGGACCCATTTTATTATGGATAAATTACATACCAGTATGATCAATATATATATATATATATATATGGAGGTATAATTCTGTGTAAAAAACACATAAAAAATTGTACCCAAAACGATCCTTGAGTAAATATTTGCCTTATATTCTACTAAATGGTATTTTGCTTTTGGGAAAATTACAAATTTTTTTTTTTAAGGATTTGACCTTTTTAAGTTTTTGATTTGGTAAATTTAAATTCTAAATTTTGTATTTGTTTTCAATTTAAATCATCTGTCTATTTCTAATCATCAAACTCAATGAAAAAATATATTTTATTTATATACACCTACATTGAATCTAATGGTTAACTAAAATGTAGCAATAATTTAAATTGAAAATAAATTAAAAAATTATGGTTTAAATTGATAAAATTAATAATTAAAGATGTATTTTATTACATGGGTTAAACTCAAAAGTTTTTTTTAAAAATAATTTTTCCTTTTTTCCCTTATTGTTGTGACAACTATAGATTAGGATGTTTGACCAAAAATAATTATAAATATATAGAGTGCAAGACTTTTTGTGCAAACAAATGGGTAATGATACATCTCATTAAAAGTGGTGTTTTAAAGCACCATTAATGAGTCGGTAAGCACTTTAATAATAATAAAAAAAAAACATATGACACAAGCAATGGGTCTCATCTACTACCACATTAGTGCTTTTAAAACATCACTTTTAATAGTCTCAAGTATTATTACAAACAAATATAACAAAGGTTGCATAAAAGATTCTCACTTTTCTGTAATCATTTACCCTAACTCCGAGCCCACTGATTGATTTGTCGTTTCCCTTTTATTATGCAATATAAAATTTGACAATTTTATTTACAAGATAAGCTGTAAATTTTACTTTTTTGTTTATTTTTGTAATATATATTTTTTGGAAGGAAAATAAATCACATATTTTTTTTTAATCTTGGATTTATCAGAGGATTGGAAAATGAAAGGAAATGCAATAATTTATACATACTCACATTTTTCTAATAACAAAATACAAAAAAAAATCTGTTTTTTTATCTTTAGCAAGCAAAAAAAAAAAAAAGAAGAAAGAAGAAGAAAATTCTACATTTTTTCCCTATCTTTTTCCATGTACAAATCACTCAGCCAATCCAAACTTTACGAGTTTACTATCTACTAAGCCTTCGTTTGGGAAGTGGGTTGGCTTTTTGATTTTTTGACTATTTTAGCCTGGGTTATTTTAGCCTGGTTTGGGAAGGGCTTTTTGACTTTTTGGCTTTTTTTTGTGAGAGAGGATTGTAATGATTATGGGTTGGATTTGATGTTTTGTTTTTTGTGGCTAAAATAACCTATTTTATTTTTTGTGGCTATTTTAGCCAAAAAAGCCTGGCTTTTTTCTTCCCAAACGGAGCCTAATTCTAGTTAGGTTCATGAAGGTCTCATGTTGATTCTTGTTTGGTAAGGCTAAATTTAGGTAGGATTTTAAAAAGGAAAAAGAAAAAATGAGAGAAAGGAAGAAAAAAAATATTTTATATTTTATTCGCATTTTTCTTATATTTCATTTTTCTCTCTAAATTCTTATCTAAAAAATTCATCATCCAAATGTAACCTAAATATTTATCCTTAAATTTAGATTTTTAGATGTATCTTTATCTAATAGATTGAACCACTTGACTAATTTTTTTATTTTAAAATTGTGTTTGGATCTTAAATTTATGAATGAATTCACGGAAAAAATAGAAAAAAGGAATAACAATTTTCCTAATTTTGCTTTTTCTTTGATAAATTGTTTTTCAAATTCAAAATTGCTCACCAAATTTAAATTTCAAACACAATAATGACATAAATCAATTAATTTTGAAAGTTGGAAGCAAAATGTCTCGCAGAGGTTAGAATGCTGACTTTGAAAACTACACTTCACTGACTATTGAAAACTGACACTGAGCTAATAATGCCCACTTGAACTAAAATAATTCAAACATAAATTGAATGGTTCAACTGCCGTTGGAAAGATGAAGGAATTTGGGGGTACTGCTGCGCCGGCTGCGTAGTAATAATTGAAAAATCTAGAAATTCTCTAGATGTTGATTTGTGATTATGTATCAATTTTAAGCAGAATATAACAATCCCAATCAAACAATCAAGACAAAGAGACACAACGATTTAACGTGGAAAAAACCACAATTGGACACCTCCAACTGTGATAAAAAAAAAACAAGAGTTTCTAGAGCACCACGAACCTTCAAGCATCCAAACCATGAAAACACTAATTTTATTATTGTACAGTAAAATGGGGGCAGGAAGTATGGGGAACTTTTTTTATAAAAAAAAAAAAAAAGATCATACGCATAAGAGGAAATGTGGAAGAGACTAAACATTTTCCATCTGCAACATTATCTGATAAGAACTGGCAAGTTATTTTTCAAGACACAACGCTTAGTTTTATTGGTTCACTTACCTTAAAATTTATTTACAAGTTTCTCTAATAATGTCACTAGTAACCACCATTTGTTCAAGGCAAAGAAAATGTTATTTCTCAAAGTAAGTACGAAATCAAAATATAAAAAAGACACTAAAATCAATAAAGAATGGATGGAAGCTTTCAAACCATTTCAACATCATGAGGCTCGCTCGAGCGAAGCTTTGCTGGCTCGAGCTAGGAGTGTATTTTTCATGATTTCTACTAGTGCCTTGGCTCGAGCGACGGATCCTTGGCTCGAGCGAGGAATACACTTTTTCAGGTTTTTGTATGGACGCAATCCTTGGCTCGAGCGCGCATTCCTTGGCTCGAGCGAGCAAGCCCTAGCTCGAGCGAGAATTCCTTGGCTCGAGCGAGCAACGACGGACATGCAATTTTGAATGCAATTTTGCATTTTGCTTCGGCCGCGAGCTGACCCCCGTAATAATCAGCGAAGTGGCAATCTTGAAAGCATTAACATCACAAACTTCTCTGCATGGTTCGATTCGGGTTTGGATTCGCATCTAATAAACTCATAGCCTCACTTAAATAA